GTTAGGTGACCCAGCTATCCTTTGAGTATCTTTACCTAGCCCTTATCCTGGCTGGTAACCCTTCTTGGTCAACTTGTGTGCTACTAAGCTTTTGTTGCTTGAGACTCTTTTAACATGGGTAATCTCTAGTGCTATGAAAATCATTTCTAGGGCATCCTCTATCGCATCCACGTATGGAATGGTAAGTGGTTTGCTGATGAGTAATTCTTCTTCTACTTGCACCACAATCAGCTTATCATCCACCACGAACTTAACTTTATGGTGGAGCTTGGAGGGTATAACTCGTGCTTGATGTATCCATGACCATTGCTAGGAGGCAACTATAGGTTGGAGTGATAACAGAGCTTGGAGTAGAGTTTTCATAAAGCCTTGGTTGAAGGAATACTCAAGTTGTCTTTCAATTTTCAGCTCGAGCAAACATTGCCCCTTTTTTCTCTTATTATTTTATCCCTAACTTTTGTATAGGACGTATATTATCGGGATCTTTATCCTTTTTTCTACCTAAGACCCTTGTCTTGGGGGGCTTTTTCTTACTCTAACTTTTTCCTATAACGCTCTTTACGGGTTTTTGTCCTAGCGGGATCTTTAACAAGCAATGCCTTCAAGCATAATGCTTCTTCTCTGTTTTAGGATTATCTTGGTAAGAAAGCTCTATTCACTCTACCTTTTGCATTTGAGAAACTCATTCTCCTCCATAGGTTCCTTTCCTTTCTTCTTTGAACTTCTCTTTCTTTTTGGAGGTATTAGCTTACAATTCGCTGGGAGTGTAGACTTGGCCACTCCTAGTTATTCCTCCAACCTCAATGATGTTGGATGAGTCTTTAGATGATGACGCTTAGATTTCAAAGACCGACGACATGACTTTATCTTTGTCGTATGGGAAAGGGTTCAGCGTCTTGATCGTTAACTGTTTCTGCATTCCTTGCACACACACATGCTCAATCAATGTACACCCATGAACAATCACATTCAAATTCATTGGTTGAGCTCCCTGCAAAGAAAGGTGCGTACTATAAGGCAATTCTAACTATCCTCACCAGTCTTAAAGTCCCCCAAGATGCGCCAATTATAAGGACCTAGTATCTCTGTCGCTATCAACTAGCAGACACTAATGGCTTGTCCAAGTATCAAGCTAGAGTAATTGGTTATCACCTTGAGCGTGATTTCTGATAATGACATGTGGGAAACTAAAACCCTTTATACGGCTGACCATACATCAACCACTCCCTATGGTCATCTCTCTTGCCCCTAGGTATAGAGGGAACTGTTGTGTGCAAGGATTTGTGTACAATTTATTTTCAAACAAAGTGAAAAAATCTAAACAAACAAGTAGTTATTAAAGCCACACTAAAAACAAATATTTACAATGAAAAGGGGTAAAAACTTAATTATTTTTTATTTTGCTAAATTTATCACTAAATGGGTCTGACCCTCTTTAAGCTTCCCAGTGGAGTTGCCATCTATGGAACCCAAAACATTTTAATCTTGCGCATAGATGGTTAGGACTTTGTTTTGAAAATATCACCAACTTTGGAATGCCCAAAGACCAAACTAATCCTTCATTGATGGTTTTGAAAAAAGTTTGAAAGAGTCCACACCGATGTTTTACTCAAAACATCAGAAAAAAGAAAGGGTTTTCAAAAGTATATTATAGCCTTCATAGCGAAAATCGGATTTAGGGATCAGTTACGTGTGGGGAAGGTATTTGGCACCCCACAATGCCCTAACTTGGTACCTTATGATAAACTTAGCATAATAATGAAATAATTATATCTTTACCCCTTTTATTTTATTAATCATGCAATAATTTACATTATATTAATTTACAACACGTGTATTAATTCATGATCTACATAGTAATCATTCACGACGTGGGAATAGGGTTATAAATAAATAAAAAATAAGGAGAAAATGGGAAAATAGAAAGAATTAGAACCTCCGAAGCAAGATTTTATAGAAGAATCTTTGAAAATGTGTACAAGGGCGTGTTTTGGCAGCCTTTCGCTCACTATCACTAAAAAATTAACAAAGAGAAGGGGGAAGTCAAATCTGACAGGTGTTTGTGCCAGGTATGAGGTATGTGGAAGAATGAGCCCTAGACACGCTTTTATAAGCACCCAGGGACGGGGAATAGTCGTTCCCAACACTGGAATGGTCATTCCGCGCATTAGAATAACACATGAAATGCCTAATGGGAACGGTCGTTCCCAAACTAGGGTTTAGTTCAAATTTCTTGTTCGGAACGATCATTCCAAGGTTGAGAATAATCATTTCGTGCTAAAATTAGGGTTTTTCGTGTAATGGTGTCTTCTAGGCCTCTCAGGTTCCATCTTGGTCCATTTTTGCGCCTTATTGGGTCCTCAAGGGCTGTTATTCTCATTCTAGAGGTCTTTTGACCCTAGTAGGAGTAGCCAAGACAAAATTTTGGTGTCTACAACATTGTGCTTGAATTGGGAGTTGAAATAGGGCCTTTGGGGGTAGATGAAAATGGGTTTGTTGGGGTAGATGAAGATGGTCTGTGAGGGTAGAAGAAACTAGGCCCGATGGTAATCAAAAGACAAAAGGCCTATGGTGTGTGATGACAAAGAAAGTGAGGAATTCATTCTAGTGTTAATGATATCTGTTTTAGTGCTATTGATGAAGAAATTGATTTATCTTATTTTGTATGATGTACCTATAAAACCTAAACAAGATGTTAGGATAAATCACTTTGAAGGGCCTTTTGGAAGTAAGTCAAGTAATTAATAGTGGTGATTTAGACTTTCTGAATGAATTTCAAGAATCTATGATTACTAAACAACCTAGTTGTAGACTTGTAGCAATCTTAATAGAGGTGGTAGTAGAGAAAGGAAAAATAGGAAGAAAGGTAGGCCAAGGAAGAATAAAGAGACTACACCTAAGCCAACATTTGAGCTTGAGATTGATTTTGACGATTTAGATTTAATGATGACTTATTTAAAGAAGAATATTGTGGAAATGAAAAAAAATATGAGAAAGGGTATTTTTGATACTGAATACGAATAAGAAGAATTGAATAGTGAGATATGATAGAAACCCTAAACTCCAAACCCTTAAACTTGTACATACTAGTTACGAATTATGATAATTAATATCAATTTGATATTTGATTTATCAAAATTTTATGTAACAACTTTGATATTATTGATATTATAAGTTGATTACATTAATTGTGGTTAATATCTATTTTTTTAATATTTTTTTATCTTATAGTTTACATAGTTGTAATTCTAAAATATAAGATTATAATAAGTATTTTTTTATAAAGTTTAATATTTTCTTTTTTTGTTTTATTTTTTTTAATTTAAGTGAATCAATCTATTTAAACCACTAACCTATAGTGGGCTGGGCTAGGTTGCTTTTTTTTAATAAAAAAAAACTCTCCAAAAGGTGAATCAGGTTGGGTTGACCCACCTATTATCCAATCCATGGTGGGTTGAGTTGAGTCGGCCAAGGTTACCAACGACTCTAGGGAAAAGTGATTCACTCAACCAAGATTCATGGATTTCATACCATTTTGCTTAGTGAGATCGTCTTGCTAAGTGAAAACTCATCCTTCTGATATTGGTTCTTCATCTTATGAAGGCTCACTCGACAAAAATAGTTCATTAGCGAAAGACTCAAGAAAACTCTCTCTTATAGGGATTTCTAGTCATTAGCCACTCCTTTTCATGCCCACAACTATCAACATAAACTAAAATCATCACTTTCTCAAGAAATATCCGCATGTAACCATAAAATCTCAATATTTTAATCTTCATCGGGGAAGAAACCAAAAACCTTTTCTTACAATAGAGAAAATCAAGCAATTCTCAACAAATCAACATCAATGACAAATCAATTCATTTTCATTACCACACATACAATGTAGAAAAGTAATAATCAATCTTTCCTTACCTCAAATTAGCTTCTTAGAAGCTAGAATCAAAAAAGAAGTAGAGAAATTTCCCCCATGTTGAAATCCTGACTCTCTTAAGCTAAACCACAACAATCACAACTCTAAAGATCAAAAGGACTTATAGGACAATTAGAAGGAGAAGTTAAGTCCTTATTTCACAAAGCCTTTATCTCCTCGTTTATCTCTCTAAAAACTTAGAAAATGAACATATGAATTTTTTTCCTTTCTTATTTTATCCTTTTTCTTTCTATCTTGAATTTCTCTTATTTTATAGTATTATAACTTAACTATAGTGTGTACCAACCTAGAAACACTAGAATGAGAGGGATCTAGAGATTTTTACAAGTATGACTGTTTGAGACAATATAATCAAGGATGACTTAAATAAATTAATTAGTATTATTTATACCAACAAGATGCATTTATTTTTCAGTAACTCGTCACTTAAAAACTCTACAGTTAAGCATGTTTGACTAGGAGAAATTTAGGAGTAAGTGACTTTTTGGAAAGTTTTTTTAGAAAGTGTGCGAGTGAAGATAAAGCACATTGAAAAGTCTTATATTGATTTGTGGGGACAATCAATGATCCTAAAAATGGTCAAATATTTCAAAAATACTACTCACAGAAAGTTTTGATTGGTGAAGAGTTCTGACCAACGATAAATTATATGAAATATTGTGAAATGGAATTGCTAAAATGTCAAATATGATAGATGTTACATAGTATCCTCTCATCGTTAACCCCTTCAAACAAATCAAGCAATTTCAAAGTAAATATATAGTACAATAAAGCACAAATAATAAAAAAAATGTTGCACATACTTTTAAAATTGGAACATACTATTTGTTAGATGTAGAGAAGGGAGTCCACTTCATTGGATTTATTATATAAAGGCATTCAAATCATCAAATTCCTCTTGCAAAATCTAACTTGTAGAAAAAACTTTTGTTGTTACTTGTTGGTGTTTTAAAGTTTGTAAAACAAATTAGACAAACCAAACGAACACATTTTTTTTATTTGATTATTCTAGCAAATGATAGTACAAATGACTATGTTGTGAAGTAAAAATTCATATTTTGCTTGACCTAAAATTTATGATATATCGGATAAAAGTGCAACAAAATCTAATGTTTTGCAATGGTATTGTAGATAACATTCATAATATTGTATTAATTTTCTTCATCCCAAAGATCGGGAACGAATTTTGCTGGTCCATTGCTCATCAACTTATGTTGCTTGACTTGATCAATCTTTTCATAGTCATCTTTTGTAAGTGACCAATTAAATATTTCTAAATTTTGCTTCATTCTCTCCTTGTTGTAACTCTTCACTGCAATAGTTATCCCTAACTCATACAACCATCTAAGAGATACCTATTACAACATAAAAGACTGTGTTAGTATTCACTCAATACATATATGTTCATTAAATGTATATACTTATTATTTGATGTAGTCATTCTTCTATTTTTTTTTCCTACTAATAAGGTATATCATGTTCTATATAGTATTTAACAATATGTAGCACTAGTATTATAAATTTACAAATGTCTTATGAATAAATTAGTAATATAAGTTTTTCCTTAAATACTCTTCACTTGATTATGTAGTATGGCACAATTTTTACTTAACCTTATCAATAAAATGCATATCTTAACAAAATGTTTACATTTAGAGTCGTAGTTGCTATAATTTTGAATGTCCGTCTGAGGAAATCAAATTACTTAATTAATTACACAAATACGATTGTAATATCATTTTTTTTTTAATTTGTTTCATCAAACAGTAAATCTAAAACTCATTTTGATTGAAATTTCATCAACGTTGGTTGAAAATATGGGTGATGGAAAAAAATTCATTTATCCATGGCTTTTCCAGTTTATGCATGTAAAATTCAATCGACTAAGATTTTTTTTTTTTTAAAAAAAAAACTACTTGAATAAAATTGAATGGGTCAAATAATTAAATGGATGGCTGACAAGTGACAATTCATACATTTAATTTTACATTTAATTTTTAGATTACAGTTAAGTGAAACCAAATTACTTAATTATATTAACACGACAATTTATTATTTTATTGTATTAATTTAATAAACATGTGAATTGAATACTCATTTTGCGATTGAAATTTCGTCATTGTTGGTTGAAAATAGGAGTGGAGGAAAATAATTTATTTTTCTACGGCTCATACATTTTGTGCATGTAAAATCCAATGCAATCGATTAGGATTTTTTTATTATTATAAAAAGGTACTTGAATAAAATTGAATATGATTAAATAATTAAATGGATGGTTGAAAATTTAATGAATCATGTATTTAATATTTTGTGGATTCAAAACAATTCAACATATTTTTATATTTAATTTTTATTTTTTAAAAGGTTTCCTAATAATTTCTTATTATTTACCAATTTTATGACTTAAACAAAATAGTTTAAATTTAAAAATAAAATTTTTAAAATTTCATTAAATAAATAATATCATTTCTTTAAAGTGAATTAAACACACACACCTTGCACACCCCATCACCCTCACTCTCATTTTCGCATCTTTAACCCCTCCCATTTCCCTTCATATTGGCATGAGTATCCTCCTTTTAGAGTTATTTATTTTATCAAATTTAAGATTTAAATTTGAGATCTTGAGGTTTGAATTTTTTTTTGGTT